GTGCAAAACCACTTCTGCGCCGAGGAGCTGTAGTGCCAGCAGGCGCATCCATGAGGGAATGGATTCTCTGAGCCGTCTTCCGCCGCCCATTCTTCATTCAGTTCGGTTTGGTCAGTGCCGGCGGCGGATCCGGCAGCAGATGCAACAGCTATCCACTCTTCGTCCGCGGACCCAGCGGCTGGCGCCGCGTCTGCGGGTGACCCCGCTTCTCCGCTGGATTCTGCGGGTGACCCCGCCTCCTTATGGAATCGGCGGTTCCATTCCTTGAGGCGATGGTCGTTGGGAAGCTGTTCCCAACTTTCCTTGACAGCGTCAGCAACCTCCTCGGTCATAGGGACGCGATCGGCTTCAGTGATGCGCTTTCCTCCTCCAGGGACCTTCTTGTTAGGGTCATGGACGTTGCCAGCGTCATCTCCATGAGACCAATTCCAGGGGGTCTCACCGTGATGAGGGCTCCTGGAGGGGCGGTCCATTGGACAGCCGCGCATGTGACCTTTGAAAGGCTCGCATTGACATACTTGCTTCCTGTATGTCTTGCGATCGTTGATGATCTCCTGTTTCTTAGCCCTTCGGTCCCAAGCCTCTGGCGTTTTAGTCTTGCCACCCTTGGTACGTATTATCATGCCAGATTCGTCCCGTTTGGTGCAGTACTCCTTAGAATACCAGTGGCGGATCACGTCCATCGAGTAGCCGGGGTACCAATTGATGTACCACTCCGGCACGTACTGAGCGGATACACCTACGGAGTGCTCCGTACTGTACGGGTAGCCAGATGCATCATGTGTAGGGCGTCGTGGAGCTGAACGGCTCCTCCTGCGGGCTGGCCCCGCTGACGCACTGCCACGTTCCATGGGCCTTTCATCTTCATGACGGTGCTCTGGGTCTCGGGGTGGCGATGGTCGTCTGTTCTTCTTGGCATGGCGCCTGTCCTCCGAGTCCTCTGAGCTGTCCTGGACCATGAATACGTGCTGATGCGGGCTTCGAAAGTACCCGATGTCGTTTAGCTGCTCCATCGTGAGGTCGTTGAGGTCCATCTGGTCGCAGCCCTGCATGAATACGTCCATAGACCAAGCGGGTGGCCCCGCTGCTGCGGCTGGCGCCACTTCGGCGGGTGACCCCGCTAGACCTGGAGTGCTGTCAGCATCTGAGGTGCCGACATGTCCGAATCCAGGTATGGACGCAGCCTTGCGGCCCCTGGGCGCGACAGCAGGTCGTTCATGGTTATCTGCTGATGTGCTGGCGCACTCAGGAGCTGGATCGCTTCTGCGACCTGCTCTTGGAGCATGTCCTTATGGTCCTCTTCGGCCTCTTCAGAGTCAGAATAAGCGGGATGGCCCCGCATTTCGTCATCAGCGTCTCCCGCTTCCGAGCCAGCTCGCGGAAGATCTGGCAGCAACGGCATGCCAATCACCTGCGGTGCCAGCGCGGCGGCGAGCTCCTCCTCGGTCGCCGGGACGGTCTCAGCTTCGGAGATCTCGTCGTCGGCGGGTGGCCCCGCTGGAAGACCGAACCAGGCATTGAACGCGACCTCGTCGACTTCGTCCCAGCCGTGGAACTCGTCGAAGAGGGTCACCGCGTACTCTTCCAGGGCTACGGTCACATCAGCGTAGCGGGCCATCACGTAGTACGTGGAGGAGCCCGCGGCGGGAGCCGCTTCTGGATTGACGTAAAACTCGTAGTCAATGTAGTCTATGTCATCCATAAAAGAGTTTTGAGCCAAATGTACGGATCCCTTTCCTTTCCCTTTCGGGCAATGATCGCGCAAATGCTCTGTGCTACCGCATGTATGACACTTCATAGTATTGCCAGAAGCGTCCCTAGGGTTGCCCCTCCGCCCTTTTCCCTTACCAGAGGTCCGCCTGTGACCCCGACCTTTGCCTCCGATAAGAACTTCTTCAAAAACTATATCAGTTAAGGACGTGAGGAAAGCAGTAATACCCCTACCATGCATACGGCGTCTGCGACCCCCTTTGCCACGACCCTTTCCATATCGTTTGAAATGTCGGCGTACTGCACGTCTCACTTTTCTGACTGGTTTCTTCATAAAGCGCCTCCAACGGCGTTTTGATTTGCGATAAGCCATAAAAGCGGCTTCCGCTCTTTGTTGTTCAGAAAGGTGAGTGTCATCAGCTGGATAGTCATTACCAGCAGAGACTATGCCATTGTGCTCATCGTCAGATGAGGTATCTGTGTCAGTGCCAGATTCAAACGGAGAGGGTGGCTGAGACCCTTGAGCGGATGACTCCGCTTGGCCCCAGAGGGTTGTGCCCGAGGGCGGGCTTGCAGTGTAGGCGGCGCCTGGCGAGTAGTTCGACCAGGCGTTCGCCTCAGCTGCCTCTGCCGATGCCTGGCCGGTCTGCCCTAAGAAGGCAGTGGCCTCGTTGGGCATATCGGCTGGGTCAGCCCAGGGACTTGGCTCGCCAGGACCAGCGGGTGACCCCGCAGTCGTGGCGTAGACACCTGCATGTGAGTGGTGCCCTGTGAAGATACCCGCAATGTTGCCAGGAGAGCGCTCGGCAACATGCCCGTAGTTCCTCATCCTGGTCAGCAGCCTATCATAGTCTGCTTGTGTTCTGGGCATCTGATGATTAAAGGGCTCCAGCAGGTGTTGGGCTCGTGACGCGCCAACGCCTAACGCTCTGAAAAGGATCAGCGTTAGGATCTGAAAGTTGGGGATGACAAAGCCAACAGAGTTAGCCTCGTCACGGGCCATCTCGAATCGAGCTAACACTGAGTCGATTCGCTCGCCCCTTTCGACGCGAAAGTCGATAAGGGCAGTGCCAGAGTTGAGCTGGCGCTCATCTTCCAGATTTTCAAATTTGGTGCTCAATAGGTACAGTATATAGTAACTGCATCCGTTGGCTGTCCGTTGACAGTTACACCATAGTTGATGATCTGGGAGGGGACCTGCATGGCGATACGACGAGCAAGGCCTTGAAGGCCACGTTGTAGTGCTGCAGCTTGCTGAGGTGGCGTCATATTGCCGCTCGTTACGTTTATCCATGCATGTACTTCGCGAACGTACTCGCGAAAAGGCGTAGTACCGGCTGGGTCCCACGAAGGGCCGGTAGTACGCGTGTCGTCCATCCCCTGCCGCATGTAGCCCACAGCACATCCCATTATCACCCATAGAATGCCGAAGATAGTTATCTTAATCCAGTGCATGTGCATCTCGGCTTCGGTGATTGGTTTAGGCTGTGGTTTGTCAGGCTCTGGCGTAGTAGCCGTAAGGCGCCTGACCGGCACGGGATGCAGGTGGCCCCGCTGCGGGTAGCCCCGCAGAGTGACCACGTTCTCGATCGAGTTGCCGATTGGCATCTGGTGGAAGTTGGGAGTGAAGTAGCGCAGTGAAGTAGGAGAGAGCGTCTCGAGCTCGCGGGTCGCCCCGCTAGCTCGATCGCGGACTGGCTCCGCCCCTCGCAGAGCCGGCGCAACATGGTATTCCACCGTAGTAGTAGTCCACCAAGTTGTGCCGTGGATTACAGGTATTAGAGCGAGAGCCAGCCACACGAGAGTGTAGCCAGCTCCGCTACCAAGTCGAAAACGCACTGGTAAGCCAAGATATATGTTCCGCCTTAGGCGCTCCCATATCCCAGGCTTTGTCTCATATCGCATGAGCAAGAGAGCAAGACGAAGCATGGGATCTGGAGTAAAGGATAGAAGGGGCATCGTCAATGGAAAAGGTATTTTCCGATCTCAGATACAAGTAGTGCGCCTCAATGAGGCACAATCACATATTAGGCCGGGCCCGGCTTGAGCCAGGCACGGCAGCGGTGCATGCTCGATATACATCTCGCCTTTAACCCTCTCCGTTTAAAGTCACCCTTTAACCGCAACGCAGCTACTGAAAAGCGCGGGGCAGGGTAGCTGCCCCGGGAGTACCGAGACACTCCAAAGCAACCCCAAAGGCTCCCAAGACCCCCCCCCCCAATACGGTCGAAAAAACCCACGAGAAAGCCCCAAACTGGCCCAAGAAGGCCCTGAGAGAGCCCCCGAGAGAGCCCCAGAGAGTCCCCGAGAGACCCTTGAGAGTAGCTCCAGATCGCCACCGCCGTCAACGTCGTCGTCGTCGGCCAAAAACGCTCCCGAGAAAGCCTCACGATTGCCAACAACGGCCCCAACACGACCCACCCCCCCACCCCCCCACACACGGGACCCAAAGATACCCCCAAGAGGCCCCCCCCGCCACATTAGAGACGCACGGGTCGCCCTCCAGGGTCGGCGGCACCGGCCGTGAGGCCTTCGCAATACGATGCTCAGCTGAAACGGCGCTGGGATAACATTGAACACTGTCGACTACCCCAAAGAAGCAGAAGAACGTACTTTAGGAATGCGAGCTTGGAGCGTGCAAGCTTAACTCTGGCGTTCAACGCGCTGCAGCCGTCGGCTCGCGCGCCCCCCTCCCCACCCCCATGCCATATCATCATCCTTCCACTGCCTCCACATCTGGAAGTTCGTCAAACACGAAGGCTAATTTAACGATGCCCTGGATGGAAGAATGGGCCAATGTAACGACGCAAGTATTGCGCAACGCTACGCATTGTTTCGCGGCCAGTCGGGCTTGTGCGAGGATGCCCGTGGTCGCGCCCGCCCTGAAGGTCAGGTCCCCGCCTTCCCTCCGTCGCCTCCCAATTTTCGGCGGCAGCGCCCAGGCCCTTTCCAGTGCAGCCACGATAGCCAATAAACAAAACGGCCGCATAAAATAATCCATCGGCTGCCCAGCCGCAACAAGACTCGATCTTGGGGCATGGGCAAGCTCGATCTGAACGTTCACAGCAATGGGGTGCATGCATCAATGTCCGCAGAAACACCCTTCTTATCAGGGCCTCAGTCATCGCGAAGACTGCGCATGTTCTTCGCGCCAATCTCCGTCGGAGGGCCGAATGCGCGGCCGAGGCCAATCGCCCGCCCACCAGAGCTGTAAAACTCGCAAGAGAGGCGTAGGCTGAGGCGAAATGTGTCAGAGCAGGGGAACGCCAGCACACGATGGCCCAAGCTCATCAGGGGCCCTTGGTCGAGCTTCCAACGGCCCGAACATCCAGTTCCAGACGGCCTGGCGGCGCTACTGGAACCCCTCGGCACGCGCGGCATCGCGAGGCAGCGCCCGTGCGCCCCCGACCATCCCCCCCCACACACACACACACACACACACACACAC